CTAAGCGTAACGATTGGGCGTTTCCATACGGCATGCTGAGACATTGCCTTAGGAAGAGCATCAGCCACTTGGGAAGGGCCGGGCTCAGCGACGAAAGCGAGCATGATTGTCACGCAATTGCCCAGCCCGCATCCGAGATGGACAAGAAAATCGCGGCAATCAATGAATAAAAAGCGATACGTCAAGCCATTACCACACCAATTAAGACCCAAACAGTGGCTACAGGAGTGGATAATTAAAGCACTCACGCGGATGATCCCTACGAACTATAAATACCGTAAAACCTATGCATGTTTCACCCCAACACCTGCGCAGGACTCAGCCTACCCTACCACTGCCTATGATTGAGGATTCCCGATTGTTCCAGTGATTGCATCTTCTCCTTCTGTCTAATTATTATCTAGATTTACCTCGTGCTCATATCCGAAAGTCCAGGCGTATAATGCTCTTGTTCCAGTGATCCTACCTCCTTCTTAAAAACTGTTGGCACTCGCGTCAAAGTAAATGGAGCTTATAACAGTTATAAGAAGGCAGATGGCCTAAGTCGAGTGGGAGCATTTTCCGCATGCACCACTTGTCAAAAGGCATAAACGTTGCCTACTTGTAGGCCATGTGTGTGAGGATTGACGCCAGAGCTGAAGTAATTTCTGCATAGGTGGACGCGCAGGCCCTCCTTTGTATTTCGGGGTTTGTTATTGGTTTAATGGAGCAGAAGTTGCGCCAGAATCTCGCGGGTCGCTGCAGACGATCGCCGTGCGTTCAGATCTATTAAATGGGACATGAAGGACGCCGACAAAGTAAGGCACACGAAGAAGTACAGGGATTTAAAGGGCAAGTAGGCAGTGGCATTTAAGACGTCGCAGTGTTGAATTGATTTAACTGCCGACACATCAACGGGCTAATTTCAGGAATAAGAAAAGAGAAAAAGGGGATCCTCGCTTGGCGTTTGGGCTTTAAAGTTGAATTTTCTATCAGATATAGTAGCATATCACGATAGCGAAGAGCGCAGGTAACGCGTAGGTTGCCTGCAGCTGACACGCAACCACTGGTCTAGGTGCAGCTGTTAAAGGGATCTTCAGTCAACCAATATTTGAAACTTTTATACGTGAGCGAAAGTCGGCATGCATAATGGTCCGTTGAGTTGCATGCCGCTAAAAAGCAAAATTTTCCCCCTCTCCCAATTTAACTGTCGAATACTTCTTTTTTATTAATGGATAGCGTCAGTGAATCAAGTTGACAACGATAGGATCAGTACCTATAACCTTAATATAGACGCTGCAAAGGCCACAGACTTCAGCGATGAATTTGTGACTGTAAACCACATAAAAATGGGAATTTGGACAACCATGGCCACAGCAGCCACAATTTACATTGCCTATAAAACCTTACTTCTAAAGGATTTTGGATGTATTGTGACCACCTTTAATAAAAACTGCACTTAATTTGATTCAATCTCCTTATTCTGTTGTTATCTCCTAAAACTAATTTTAGCCAAAATTCGAAAATTCAGATAAATAATGTTATCTATTGCAGTGCTCAAGTTATCTTCATATGCGTTTTCTAATTTTTTTCGTATTATTATATCTCACATGCGAGGTTCCTTTCTCGCGACTTAAATTTTGCTGGTATTTAAGGTTCTGTTACATGTCATACTTTGACAGGGACATCCTACTCTACGAACACTATTTATCCTTCTTGTGAGCTTAAGCTCTTATTTATAATTAAAGGTGGCCAGGCCTTTATCGTTCTATGATATTTCTTTTTCCGTCCCGTTTCAATTAATTTCCCAGACTGTGCTGGGCTTGGATGCTGACTTAACAATTAGAGATCTAACCGGCATTAAATTCGTTTACTCGTCAAATTTAATCTTCCTCAAATTCCCACCTGTGATTTCTGTTTTATTTTTCGATTGTAGTTTACAACTACCTCTCCGTTCGAAGTGACAGCAGCGGCTCACAAAAGGGCCTGGATGGATCTCCGACGGACACGATTTCCCCAACTTTTTTTTCTAAAAGTCCTTCCTTTTTTCAACCTAGAAGCCAGCTGGCTGCCTTTGCTGACTACCAGCTCACCGAAGACGACAAGACAGTTATTCGAGTGATTCGAAAGTTCAAACTTTTTGTGGCAAGGAGAAAGTTTCGCGAAGCCCTCAAACCCTACGATGTCAAAGATGTGATTGAACAGTATTCTGTCGGACACTTGGACATGCTTACAAGGGTGAAGAATCTACAGAGCAGGTTGATTTTCCTTCTGGCCGCCGTTCACTTATTTATGTAAAATAAATATGAATATATTGTTTTTGGACCGTATTCATAAGTAAAAAGTTCATTTTTATGAGCCTACCATTGGAAAAAATGCTGAAGTTAAAACCAGACACGCCTCTGAACCTCGTATTCAAAACTCGAAGAAAACCATTTATTCTTATGCAGAGGTCCAAACATACACGACTTCTGTAGACTACAGGTTGATGTTTCGAAGAATGACAATACATGTGTTATCAAATATCTCACATATCAATCGGATTCATTAATCATTATCCTTAATAATAAAAACCAATATGTATGTCATCGAGTATTGATAAAGTGAAGAATAAATCCTACTTCTTTTCATGAGCTCTGATATTTTGGCTGCTTTTCAAGAATGAGGTCCCGAACTCGTTACGCGGATACATCAGAGGTTTATATTGTTTGTTGATGATTAGAAGAACTCAGAATATTTCCGTTGAAATAGTTACGAAATGCATATCTTGCAGGCCTTCAGCAGTTTCTATTTTACAATTGAATAAAATAATGCGAAAGGATTAACGTTTTCCTCATTAAAACGTTTAGATGGGTATATTATAATTCAACTATGCTTGGCCTAATTTTTTTTTCAAATTCAGTCAATTGTTGGAATTGGACCAGGGAATAAAAGCACTCGCAGAATAATAAAAAAAACTAACAAAACTTGGAATACTGAATCTTTTACAGTTATTAAAGGAAAAATCTACCATGGATACAATATAAATTCGCAAGCAGAATGCCTTATAGTGTTACAATTTGTGTAGGGGTAAATGCTTTTCCGCATTATTAACATATTATATTTAATTAAACATAAAAGACGTTGCTAAATTCTACATACAAATTTGATGTGGAACAGGGTTTTTGGAAGGGAAGTCACAGCCAACACTTGAGGATTAGGAATGACCTAAAAATAAATGCATTAAAGTCACGCCCAAATTGTATCGCTTGTTTGATTAAAAAATAAAATTGTTAAAATTGTTAAAATTGTTCAACGTTACTCATATTCAAATATTTAGTATAACTTCGTGCTGTTTCAGGAAGACCAATTATCATCTACGTCCAAACATGAAAATGCAATGGAAAGATCATATGCAAGCTGAATCAGATTTATGCAGCACGTTAGCTTTCTAATAACGAAATCAACTCTAGCTTTGGAACTTATTAACGAGTGCACATGAATAAATAAAATATTAACTGTAATTGTTAACCGAGAGTCACTATTATTTAGATCAATGAGTTGCAGACAATGCAGGAAGGCTGCATAAAATAACCGAAATGATCAACGAGAAAGTTGAATCGACTGGGACTGAAGCAACTGGACTGCACTCATAGATACAGCTGATAGATTGTTCAAGCGTGAATGTATTCACATTCGATGCTGCTTAATTCGGGTACAGTTTTTATGTGAGCTAATTAAAGCGAGAAAATTCAGTTTGAGAAGAAGGCATTTCGATAGTTGGGTCAACATTCTTATTTGCCCGACGTTTCGATATTCGTCGTGGGTACATCATCAGAGAACTATGCAGAAAGCAAAAGCGGAACCCCATTTCTGAAATTTAGTTTAGCAAACACGTCAGATTCGTAGAATCTCAAAATATTATGTAGGTACATAAATATTTTTCGGCATATTTGTAACGCCGGTACCTGTTCAGGAATTAAAGTAACATGACTGCAGTTGAGTGCCGAACTTCCAAGGGAATTTACTGCACATCTAAGTGGGATGTATACTGAAATGCGTGGAATGTGGAATACGTGCTGACTTTAACTTTCCAGGTGTGCAGTCGTAGTTAATCCACTGTTGGTGATTATCAACTTTTGGGTCTTACTGGATGAAGGCCATTTTCTTTTATTTGCGTTTGTCACAAAAAGGGCAAATTTCGTCAAATAGAAAAAGGAGAAGCTCTAAGAACCTATCTTGTCTCGAATTCTGATATACACCACTAGGTATTCCAGTCGAATATGTCTTTATTTGCGCTCTGCAATTACGAAAGCAAATGGCTTATTTATTCCCCTGGAACAAAATAACTCAAATCCAAAGAAGGTGTCCCCTGAGGTTTTCAAAAATATGCTTTTTGGTATTTTCCGCAGGTTGGATCAAATATTGGGCCGTCAGAGTAAGGCCTCTGCGTCTGACACCGGACATAAGAGTTTGGCATCGCGCATTGTTGGAATCGAGTCAAACGTGAGTTACCAACTTACTCTTTTATAAACCTATGGGCCTGGTTTCTAAAATGCGGTTTGCATATGCAATCCCTTAATAGCACGCAAAACGTGCACAAGGTCGTTGCAGTGTTATTTACATCATAACGTAGGAACAGACTGTGGATGAAACTAAATCAGTGACGCAAATTCATTTTCTTCTCAATCTGTATTTTTTTCATTAGATTGTGCCACTGTAATAGTCAACACATAATAAAGTTGATTAGTAAAACAGTTCCTTAAATGTTAGCTTCCATATTCTCTTGGCTCCAAAGTGTTTGGTAGGCTTTTTCGTAGCCTTTCAAAAGAAATTGGTTTTCATGACTTTAATTTATGGCTTAAGGCGCAGCCACGCTGCGATTGCTCTTCTCAAATCCTTAACGCTTGTCTCAGCATAAGAATAATGCTTGCCTTTTCCTCATTTTTACAACTTATTTGTTGTTAGTCATATTTTTATTTAGATTCAAATAACAACACCCCGAAAAAACTTAATTACATATTGATAACGGTATTTGAAGAAAAGCCTGAATTTTACTGTTTAATGTTTTGATTAACATTCATACATCAGTTAACCTCCGACCAAATGGTAGACGCACAAAAGACGGTAACCTTTAAATGTAAATAATAAAAGCTTCCGTTGTTGACCAAATGGTAAGCCAATGGTTGTGCGCTGCAAGCACTTACCCGGTCAATATAGATCATATTAGCCTCAGCCTGATCTTAAGAACTTTGGACGCAGCATCCAAATCAATGTGCATTATACTGCATGCACCATGTGCGTGCACTGACTACGAAAACTCGCAACCCTTCCCTATCAGACAGCTGACAACAAGGTGGATTGTGGCCTAGGTAAATATGCCTCCTGCGTGTCAGAGACGTTTGCTTACCTAGGATAAACGTGCCCTTTTCTTCTTAACCAGATGTTGTTCATTTATACGTGTGGAGACCGCATCACAAGTGGTACAAGATAGTTTCGAAGATTTCGCTTTCTTTTAAATTCCCCACAAAATCCGCAGCGTTGGCAGCTGCCCAACATGATGGGTCAGCGAACTGCTCTAAGCAATGCATTCACTCCACGCATGCATTAGCGGGCATATTGGGCTATAGGCTACTTACACATTTCTCAAGGTCAAGTAAAAGCAAAAAAATCAAAAAGGACCAGATAAAGAAACGCAGTGGGCACCTATTTGCCTACAGGGCACACTGAAGCATGCGTGCCTTAGAATTAACTTATTTTCGTATCTACCTTTTTTGCAAAGAGGACTGGGGGAACATTATTTTACACAATATACTAACTTGTTCTCAATGAATGTCTTATTTTTTCCGATAAAACATGAACATTTTTTGAACCAGATATATCCTGTGGAAAAACGTGACATTTTCTTCAGTAAATTTTCGCCACTGATTCCTCAGATTGTCGTCAGTGTTGATATGATATGCGAAAAACTTGCTGAAAAAATGCATGGCAATGTTTTGTGAGTCCTAATAGGCGGCTGTTGCTCGCATTTGTCTGCGTTAATCCGCTGTCGTCTTTCCTATTTTTCCTTTGAGATAGTTTTACATGGCATCTAAATCAGTATGCCGATTGATCTATTAGCAATTGAAGCATATGGCCTCATTAACTCATCGGCCATTTTTGGAGGGCCTCACTCTGATGCAAGGAGTGTTGAACAAGGCAAAGACAAGGGGATTCACAGGGTTTCACGATGACGTGGTATTTTGTGACCCGTTGTTTAATTAAATACGGTCATTGCCCACCAGAAAGATAGAAAAAACTGTCCAAATAAATATCGATCTAGTAGACTAAAACTCCATAGGTAAATAAGCGTGAGTCTTTGGTCTAGGGTGCGGGTCTGCGTACCCTTAGATTAAGCAGGACTATGCACGGACGAAGTCCTGAATGCCTAAAAACGGAGGTTCCCCAAACACCCCTGCTTGAACTCATAAACCGCTGTTTAAAAACCAACTTTCGTTCAAACAACACTTATACCAACAAGATAAATAAGCTCTAGTGAAGTCAGACATATCTGGCATCCCTGCCAAAGAGAAATTGCAGATGCTGGAATCAATGGCTCTTCAAATGATTAATCCTATGTTGTAGTTGCAATATATAGACGATATATTTATCGTCGTTTAAAGGCGAATTAGAAGCATGCAAAATTCCCATCACAGAAATTCAAAGAGCGATTGGCGAGCAAACGTATACTTTCAATAAATTCTCATGAGGCCATTACATTTATATGGGAGGGGGGTAAAGTGTAAAAGTGTAGGTAAAGTATGTTCAACGTTGAACACTCTAAAACACCATCAGCTTAACCATTCTGGGAATTAAATTTACGTGCGAGAAAGATGCTGTCAGTAAGCTCCCATTTATAGATTTTATCGTACAACGAAAGACTGACGGGGCATCACACACGAAGGTTCCCGAAAATAAACAAATACGGAAGTTATAAGAGCAACAGCCCAATCCCTCACAAAAGAAGTACCGTCAGCAGCTTACCGTACTAAGCAAAAACGCATTGCTCTAACAAACAAAGCTACCCGTTTGAATTATCTTTCCAATTTGGTTGCCTACGAGACCTAGTATGCCGATGCATGAAAGTACAAGAATCCGGAGAAGACTAAGTAATTCGTTTCAATTAGATGGCCAAAGCAAATGCATTAAGAATCCTCATTAAAAGGCATTTGCGGAAAAACGAAAGTAAATTTCCGCACAAAACGACGATCATGTGATGCTCCTAGGAATTGGGTTAGCTATATCGACGAGAAATAAGTCGTCTGCAAGGCCCCATGCGA